GAAAGGGAAAGGAAAGGAAAGGAAAGGAAAGGAAAGGAAAGGAAAGGAAAGGAAAGGAAAGGAAAGGAAAGGAAAGGAAAGGAAAGGAAAGGAAAGGAAAGGAAAGGGTATTCCATTTCTATCCAAGTACCTAATTTTGTATTGGTGTTACTGGACACATAGAAAGCTGAAGAGAAGCAAAGTCCCTTAATATTTATTGCAGATCTCTGCTATTAACATCCATGTTACTTAGGCCCAAATTAGCAGTGCTACTTGTATTAATAATGAGCTAGGTGAGTCTGGGCACTGAGCAAATTGATATCACTCCCTACGATGGAGCAAATTGACATCATGGTGCTTCTAAAAATCTTACTGAAGTGGTCAATGTCTTGAATAATAAGCTTATTTTAATATGGTGAGAAATATATAAAAAGGGGTACCAGAAACCTGTCCCATTTGTATTCCAAAGCACATTTTAGCCTCTAAAGCTGTGAAAGCACCTATGATAAGAGTAAAATGAGTTATTAGAACTTCGTTTTCTCCAAAGAAACTGCAGGCTAGAAGAGCTATACAGCTCTCTGAGAAGATCAGGTATTTAGAGTCATCAAATTTGTGTGTTGGGGGTAGACCATGAGTAAGGTTATGAAGAAGGAACATCCTTGAGAAATGTGGAGTCTACTACAACAACTAGTACTATTGTACTATGATATTCTGGATATAAGTGCTCTCACTTCTGTGAGTGAGTATTTATAAAGAAGAACTTGCTGAGATAGAACAGAGCTTGAGTAACTTTTGGGAACTGCCAAGCAGCATCATCTGGACATGGTAGAGCAATATCCGGAAGGACAAACAGGACATTCCATTATTCTCTTTGCTTTTAAATAAGGGAGGTGTGAGCTGCTTTGGTAATGCTGAGAGGTCTTTTATCATCAAGGTAATAGTTGTCACTTTGACAGTATACATAAATAGAAAGCCTGCACACATAGTCGGTGTTTGAAATAAGACTCCAACTCTGTTTCTATCAGAACAGTGACAAGCTTTCTGAATAGCTTAAGATGTCATCCCTTCCACTGGGCAGTTTCAAAGGCCATGACACTTCTGAATGGCAGCCTGAAAGATGATCTCTTTGTAAAAAATGGTCCTGTTGCAGGTGTTCCCTATTTGAAAAGTTGATCTTTTAGCCATTTGACTTAAGTAAAATGAATGTTATAAGGTATCATATTCTCCTCAGCAGAATATCAGGTATTAAAAAAAAAGAAAAAAAAATGCAACTCCCTCCCAATAAAATCAAATAAAAAACTACAAAAAAACCAACCAACCAACCAAACAAACAAACAAAAACAAACAAAAAACCACAAACAAACAAACAAAAAAGACCAAAAAAACCCCTGCCTAAAACAATACAAAATAAAATAAATGCATTTGAAGGCAAAACTAGATATTTGTCAGAGATTCATGTTTTCAGTAAGATATAGTTTCAAAAAATACATTAAGTAAATGGAGTTAAACTCCTGTTTATATTTTTGCTATTTCTCAGCAAAATTCTTGTCATAATTTAGATCAAATGGGTAATTTGTTTGATAATTGTTTCTCTGATTCCATCATAAGCTCTAAGAAATTAGATGAGAGACAACTCAGCAGATATTGTTTTATGCTGAAAGTGTCCAGGAGAGCAATTCATCAGTCAAATATTTCTGCACTCTCAATAGCTGTAGGCTGCAACCAAATTCACCAGAATATTTTTATCCCAAAAGAGTCAGGTTGCATAACTAGCATCCACAACAGAAATATGCATTCCAAAATGTCACTGATTTTAAAGATACTTTGAGATATTTGCTCAGTGTGAAGGAAGGCTGAAAGAAATCACTCTGACTGGAAATAACAAACACTTCACTCACTGAACCCTGAGGTCAGAGGCTCCTCATCGTGACATAACTAACTGAGGAGATAATTATCCTAAGCAATGTATATTATGGTTTAGGAACTATTCCTGTTATATGGAGAAATGAAAAAAAATTCATGCTGTAGTGGCTTGGGAGAAAATGAAAGAAATTTCCATATGAGTTTGATAGTTCTTCAAAAATACAAGCTAAAGGGAATGATCTCCTTCTATGTCAGGAGATTTTTTTTTTAATTACTAAAGAAGATAATTTCATTAAAAGCCTTACTTGTTTTCAGAACAAGACTGTTTGCCTTCCAAAAATGTGCTTAAAAATTTAAAATTTGTCACCATCTACTGAATATTGAAAATCACTTTGTACCCAGAGAGCTACTACATTTAAAGGATTAATAGCAGAGAAATAAGAAACAAGCAAATAAATATCAAGATAGAACAAACCAATATGGATTGAAAAGCAATGATCTTGGTTAGATTTAGTGAAAGTTATAACAAATAAACAATACTAGAATTTGTCTTCATCACAAAAAATATAGAATTAAATAACAGTATTCCTTTGTGGTTATTACTAAGTGGCAAAAGAAACAGCTGTAACATTTTAATATAAATACAATTTTTTCCCTGGAGTACAGGCTATGTTTGAGCTTCAAAATTAGCAGTATAAAGTTAAATTTAGATGACTTGTTAACATATAATTTTTAAGAAATCAGCAATTACCCCAGAGCTAAAATCAGTTTTTTCTATTTAATGAAGATTAAAACAAAGTTGTATTTACTTAGACACTGGAGAATAATTTCAGGTTCAACATTAGATTCATCCTATGGTAAAACTGAGATAGCTCAGATCAACACTCTCAGCTCTGAGACTGTTCTTTTGACCACGGAAATAGGAAAATTATTCTTGTATTGTATAAGGGAAATTCAAAATTTCTACTTATCCTTAATTAACTGTGAAGTTCATAAAAGTTTTTTTTCTTTTTCAAATGCCCCTTAATTCAGGAGCCTATAAGGAAGAGTTCACTTCCATTCTTCAAAATGCTGGTGACATGATGAAGACCTATTACATATGTAAATATTTGTTTCTTTTCTAAATAAATACGAAATATTGTATTTGCTAGAAAAAAAAGAGGCTACTCACAGCAATAAAGCATAGAGTTAAATGCTCTGTAGTTTGAACCCCCCTGCTAATTCTGTTTGTAAACTTTACAAGTGACCTAAATAAAGTAATTTTTTAAAAAAGGGCAAATACAATCATTCGGATAACAATTTCAAAAGGTATGTGATAACATATCCCAAAGTGGCCAAAGAAGACTTCAAGTCCACTAAAAGACACTTAATTCTGCAAGAAATAATTGCTTCACTTCTTTTCAGACCGTGGTGGACACAGGCTTGACAGAAATGTGTTAACAGATATTGAAAAGTTGATGACTCCTGCATACTACTACCTCATTACAGAAGAAACAATAATGTATGAAAAAATTTATTCAGAGGCTTCAAGCAATTAAAAAGCTATCCACTGTTCTTCAACCTTTATTCAGTCACACATAGTAGCAAGACTACCTTTATATTCGGCTTCAGCTTTCTAGAATTTGCTAAAAATGTAAAAGCTTAATACCACGTTTTTTCCCTTTAGTTTCTGTGTTTTATCTGGTGGGAGTATAGGGAGAACAAATGCTTAAATTACTCTGGTTTCTGTTTTGCTCAGTACAATTAGCTGAAGAGCAATGACAACATTATGAATTTAGCAGTGAAGTAGGGAACTTAAGAAATCATCCAATAAAGGGAATAATGTATCAGCTTTGATTTCTTTACATTAATCTCCATGGTTGTGATTCTGCAACCCATCTTGATGCTCCAGAAGAGCACTCTCTTGCAATGCAACCTGACTACTTGTGTCAGTATTTACCGGTTAACCTGAAAGAGGTTTCAGAGGTGAACTCTAAAGTAAAAGATGATGCTTGAATGACAGCAGGGTATTAAAACCTGGACATTTCCCCTCTTGTAGTGGACAGCTCAGAGACCACAATCTACAAGCCTAAGCAGTTGATACATGCAGTCCCATTTGTTTGAAAGAGAAAGTTTATAAACATGGACTGAGAGTGAAGGGTGTTTGTAACTTGACATTCCATTTTCCATTTGTGTTTAGGTTACAACTGAAATCTGTTATGTTCTTGAAGGCAATTTGGAGCTAGTATTTTGCATTGTACATACGCAAAAAGTCAGACACTGATGCCAACAACTCAGTATTTACTCAACTTGCACTTACATCCTTGGTGTTTCTCACCAGTCCCAGTTCCCTGTGCATTGTGGAAAGGAACAACCTTCGGAGCAAGCACTGGTGCTCTCACACCTCCTACCTTCTGTCATCAACAGTTCATGTACGAAAGGAAGGAAAAATCTGTTTCACTGAACCTCCCTGTAAAACTCCCTTCACTCCTTAAAGAAAATAACACTTCTGTCACGGGGTTTGTGTTGCAGTTGGCCTGACATAAACAAAAATATTACTCTTTGTGTCATATCTCTGTAGAAGATTGGTTACTTCTCCTTTCTGCCTTTCATGAAAGCCTTTGGTTTGAGTTAGGGTTAGAAACTGAATTTGATATAGTTGGAGATTTACAGTTAGTCTATGAATAACTCTAGGAAAAGACACCTGCTTTGAGGTGCTGCAAGGAAGAAGCCATTCTAATTTAAAAGTTGTTTGTTTTAAATGTCACACTTGTTAACAGCTTTTTTTCACAAGAAGCTTTTTTCATTAACAGTAAAGTTAACAACAATATTCTTCCATTTCTATTTCAAAAACAAATACAGTTACCCACCTTTTAACTTTGGATTTTCCACTGATGCTGTAAAAATAAAGAAAATTCTCAGACACTAATTTTGTAAATCAATAAATAAATTAAGACTAATTCTAACATCTCTTCTCTTAGTCAATATGCTACCTATGCTATCTATGCAGTAGCATGAGTTCATTTTTTTTATGTAGAAAGAAACTGACACACATACATTGCTTTTTTGGATAGTCTTATGACAGATGACTAATTAACCTGCAGATTAAGAGCAATGGAAAACAAGGTCAATATATAAGTTATATACGGAGCTTCAATAGCTCCACTATTTTTAAGTAATGTCAATGAGAAAAGGAACAAAACAGGTTTCAGAATGGGCACAAATTAAACAGAGGTGAAGGGTATGAGGGTATAGTTTCAGTAGTTTAGCAGAAGTTAAGGATTTTTTCTCCTTTTTTTTTTTTTTTAAATTTTATTGAAAACTTCTAGTAATGATACAGAGGAGGATCCAGTTTTGAAAGTCTTCCTTAAAAATATGTGGTTTTTTTCAGACAATTTGTTTATTATTCTTCATAATTGCATTAACTAAATCCAAATTAATTGAAATAACACACTTCTCTTTCTTCATTATTCATACCTTTATTCTGAAGCACTGTGACAGGTTTTTATGCTTTAGAAAAGAACAGATTCATTTTTGTATAAATTGGCTGTCTATTGTAGGTATTTCTTGCTCAGAATTTCTGTCTGAGAAAATGGAGTCATCTGACAAATGAGTCATCAAGCTTGGCTGTAAAAAGAGTAGAAAATCTTTATGATCTCCCAAATCTGGATAAACTGGAGAAGTGGATTCCAGTCAGGAATAAGAGCATCTAGCTGCTCTAAAATAAACCACTAAAATGCATGGGTACTTGGAATAAAAACATATTGAACAATCTACTTTTTTCCTTCCTTTCACACTCTGAATCTTCTATTTTATATTTGTTTCTATATCCATTTACTGTAACTTTTAAGTGAGCCCCCTTTCCTTGAAAAGACAAATCCTTTAAAAGCTGAAATTAAAAATTCTCAACCTCTTGTGCTTCTCAACAGCATTTGATCAGATGTCAGTTCCAGAAGACCAGATGGCTACATGTCTGCTCCACAGCCATTCAATTGCTTAAGTAATATTTATTAAACCAGCAAATTTTTGTCTATGGTATTACTTTTTTTATCCCTCTACCTGATCCTGTCTCAACTGAAAATCAAACCAGATAAATGAGACTCTAAAACTTACAATATCCTGCAGGTCTTACCATGTACTTTTACTTCTCTCTTTGCTGTTTTGGCTGTAAAAACAAACAAAATATTGAATATTGACTTTTGATGTGATTTACTTTAAAACATTAGGATAGTTAAGAGGTAAGATAAAAAAGGGAGAATATTCACCAGATTCCATTGTTTTTTCTTTCTTGTGTGGTTCTGAAAAAAGAAAAAAAAAGAGTGAAGATTACATTTCTCTTCCTGTAATGCTTGGTTTAATTCCCCTAGACAATCATTTTTCATGTTGCTAGTGGTGTTTGGATGTGAGACATTCCCTTGAACTCTCAACTCAGATGAGCCCTTCCCTGCTTTCCTACATGTCAAAATAAAACCTTTACAGTTGTAATCAGTCTCTTCAGTGGTTTTCACACTGCATAAACAGGCTGAGATTATCTCTTAATAATGGACAGCAAAGCATTTGACTTGTATAATAGGGTGCTGAAAGAAAACTATAGAAAGGGTGTAGGTTAAAACATCTGCAGTTTTGCTTCAGGGTCCTTTAAATGGAGGCCTGCAATTGTAGAGCCTCAGGACACCTGTGGTCCTTGTCTTTCTTTATTGGAGAGAATGGAGAATAAACAGAGCATCTAGTCCAGCCACTGTGCTCTACATCCACGGGAAAGGGGAGAGGATCCTGGCCTCCTTTACAGGAGTGCACAGTGTGGAGGAAATGACTGCTCACTGGAGTTCACCATCAAAACAGGATTTGGAAACCTGAAGTTGAAAAGCTTCATCCACCTAAACTCTATACCCTCTATCAAGCTATGGCTGGGATTTAAAACTTCTTAATGTAGTTTCTGTAACAGCTCTTTTCATCCTGCCATGATGTGCTTCAAAACCTCCTCACAGAAGGAGCAGGCAGCCTGCCATGGTGAGAGACTGAACGTTTCTCTCAGACACCGAGCATCATCTACTAGTCACTGCTGATGTTCACAGTAGCAAAAAAAATAGTTAAGTTTTTTCTGTCTGCAGATGCTTTTAAACAGCATATGGAGAGGCTCTGCTGAGCAGGTTTGGATGTACCTAGGAATATTTCCTAAATTCAGGAGCATTTGAGTTGACTGATCACAAGATATAAAACAAATTCATTAAATCATAGAATATCCTGAGTTGGAAGGGATATTCTTGAGTTCCTACTCAGAAAATTCTACAATTCTATGATTCACAAGGATCATTGAGTCCATCTCCTGCCTCTCCACAGAATAACCCCAAGAATCACACCATGTGCCTGAGAACACTGTTCAAATGCTTCTCGAACTCTGGCAGGCTTGGTGCTGTGACCACTTCCCTGGGGAGCCTATTCCAGTGCCCAAACACCTTTTCTTATTATAGGTTATATTTGTATTAATGCTATGGTATACAGTTGAGAAACACTAATGTTTCAACAGTTTCCACTCTAGAATCAAGACATAAAGTTCCATGTTCAAAGGGATTCTGAATGTTGCACCCTCACAAGCCTATTAATAAATCTGAGCTATCATTCATTTGAATAAGCAAAGAAGAAACAAGACCTGCAAATAGAAAATTAAATATTATTTATAAAAAACATTAATATGAATATTATTACTATTAAATATTCATAATCAATGTTAATACTGACTGCACAATGGAAACTAAAAGAGGTAAGCCTCATGCAGAGCTGCGAAAATAATTTATATTAGAAAGAGTATACTGATCTAAAATATAAGCCCCCCCAGTTATTAAGTTTGAAACAAAATATGTCATTATTAAATACTCTCACCCCCTATAAGCTTATATGGAGCAACTCATGAAGTTCTCTCTGAAAAAAAAACTCTTTTTTTTCCTAGGTTTTTAAACCTACCTGAAGAGCCATATTACACACATTTTAAAGAAAAATATAGTTTCTAAAATAAAGTGTTGCTCTGAGCTCTTAAAACTCCCAAATATTATTTTTCTTTTTTTTTTTTTCCAAAAAAATGCATATAATTTCATCACAATTTCAAAAGCAATATCTTTCAGACAAAATATATACTTTAAGGCATCAAGACTAGTTGACTGAAATCTTGGACCTAGCTTTAATATAGTTATATAAAGCCCATTTTAGTGTATTCATTATAAAACATATACATACAAAACATTATTATAGATTCTTGAGACACACATTTTAAATGAGAAGTGAGATTTAGTGGAAATGGTCATGGAGCAGGTTCATGTCACCAAAGCAATGAGTCATAAATATGATTTTCCAAGCAATATGAAAAAGTAATGGAGATAGAGAGCAAGTTTGCATTAAATAGTTTATTGCATAATAAGTATTATATTTTCTTGATGGCATTCTCTCTTGGGTGACAACCCTAGTACAGGTCAAAGACGAGAAATTTTGTAAAAAAATGAGAAGACAGAAGTTTGGGACTCAGTAGTTTGTCTGACTCAGTGATCCTAATTATAAATCAACAGCTGCAGCTTTAGTTTTGTATAGCCCAAGTACTCTTCAGACTACCCACTTTCATGTAGATATTCTAGGATTTATTCTGTGAAATGAGAACTTTTATTGGTTTTGTGGGGTTTTCTGTTTTGCTATTGCTCAGGATAGCTTCCTGGAAACTGAAGGAAATATAATTCTGTCTTTTTTCTGAGGCAATTATTTTTTCCTCTGACTCTAAGATCTCTCAGTTCTTATGAGATCAGGGAACAGCATGACATAACAACACGCTGCAAATATTTTGACAAAGTATAAAATAATCCATTTATTTAGCTTTATTTCACTTTTTTTTTTTTTTCCCAAAGCATTCAGGAAATCCTATAGAGCTTCCTTTATATCAATTTTACTTCCAGAAACATGTGCAATAAGATCCTTTCCTAAGAGAAATTTTATAAAAATGAATAACATAGAATTTGACATTAAGGGTTTCTGGGAAATCTAACATGATATGAAATTTCAGGTGATTCCTGCTCTGAAATTTGAATGGAATAAACTGAAAGCTTTCATTACATGAGCCATAAACTTCAAGAAACATCAGACCTAGGTCTTTCCTTTTTGTTACAAGTTATTATTGCTTGTATCATCTCAATGTCTCTCTTTTTTTTTACTTCCAAGTAGTTAGTATGACATAGGAAAGGGTATTGCCGACTGTAGACACATTAGACATTTGTCATGACATTTGTCATTCTTTTTATATTTAGCCATTTTTGCATGTATATGAGGCTGTAGAGCATGTTTATATTTCGGGAAGTTTTGCTGGTAATATATTATTTTTCTACTATGCATGGAATTGAGATTTGGTTTAGTTTGACATTTCACAATCTTTACATGCTCTGATGGTTTGAACAAATGGCTTTTTTTTCTTTCTTTTTTTTTTTTTTTTTTTTTTTTTTTTTTTGATGTTTTGTTTATGAAAACTGGCAAAGTTATGTATAACATGCCCATAAAACCAAAAAAATGTGGTTTCTTTTTTTTTTCATTACTAGTTACATACTCCTAGACAATCCAGAGTAACTGGAAGATAGATGAGAACCTTAACCTGCCTCTGCACTCTTTCCCAACACACAAATGGTGCTGAAAAGCATCTAGGCTGGTAAATTCATTGTGGTGCATTTTAATCTTTACTACCAGGATAGACAGTCACAATCTGGGACTCTCTGCCATCCTTTAGGAGAGAATAAATTGATATCCCACCTTAATTTATACAGCTATGTGTGCACATGCATGCATATGTGCGTGCACATGTGTTATCTCCTAATTCAGATAGAACATTCATGTTCAAGAAGTGTTCAGGAAAATAAAAATTGTATGAGGAATGACACAGATTTGGAAAAGTTTAAATAAATGACATATCGAGTGTCTTTGCTATTGTGTGGCATGCACCACATGTTAATTAACCAACACTGTTTTGTTTGCACTTCGTAGCTGCACAGAAGTGGTGTTTTCTGTTCTATTGTTTAACTTTTACCACAAATATTTCAGTGAAGCATACTGCTGTCGTATTTTATGCAATGTCTTGAATACTTAAATCCTTAGACAGCAGGATGTTAGCCTAGTCTTACAGTTTTGTAATCTTGGTTTTATAGTCCATATGCTTGTCATTTCCCTTCTCAGACCTTCATATCATGTTGTTTAATTAAAACCAAATGAGATAGAGTGGTAAAGCTCTCCAAGATATCCTTTCATTAAGAATATTGTGAACATAAGCAACTAGATACATGGAAGATCCCTTTAGTCCCTTCTGTTGAATGGAAACTTTGCAATGTGAGTTCAGTCACATTGTTAGACCTGAGATAATTCCCATGAGAAAGTCTTGCATCAAACTAAGTTTTTCTATTTCTCCTGCTCCCAAGAATAATGTGTTCTGCTATAGTTCCCTCCTATTCTTATTTTCTGGGTTGATGTAGAAAACCTCACCGCCATTGTACCCTTTGATTCATAAAGATAATGAACTGTACAAATACATTCATTTCTGGAATAAGAAAGCACAAAGGAAACCCCTTGCTGGGTGAGATCATGCCACACATAATTGCTCCTCTATAAATCATTTTTTGAAGAGGCTAACAAACAGTTTTTCTGACAGATTTTTATGAAGAAAAGAAAAGCATTTGACAATTCTCTGTATCAGCATGTTTGTATGAGAAATCTGCTACCGTGTTGGGAAATACCCGAGAAAAATTTTATACAAAGAAAAGAAAGAAAAGAAGCCTGGAGGAAATGCAAGTACTTTCAGTTTCATCTGTTTGGTCTGTAGCTTTTCTTCACAGGCAGAAAGCAGTGGCATCAGAGGTGAACATCATAAATTCTAGATGAAGTATAATCATACATGGTATAGAAAACTGAACCACACCACTGTTCCACTGTAAATCAAGTGATATTTTCATAACAGTCTCAGTGAACAAGATAAGGCCCATTTATTCGCATTCTAGCAAAGCAAAGGTGGCACCACTTCCAAAACAATTTAGCATTCACCTAAATTATTTGATGGTTCAAGATGGAGTTAAAGATATGTTAATTCCTTGCCAAAATCCGGTCCTATTCTTGCCAAAAGCACACTCAAATCCTGAAAAGTTAAGGCCTATGAAAGTTTGCCAGTTTCAGAACAAAGCACCTTAAAATGCCTTTTCTTTAAAGAGTGGACACATAAATAACTCTTTTAACTCTGATTTGTATTTAAATAGCACTTAATTTGACCCCCTTTTATTCTCAATATTGT